TAAGGTAGGGACTCTTTAACCAAAACCTCAACCTAATACGGAAAAATAAAAAAAATAAAAAAACTAAAAAAATAAAAAACTACCAACTAAACTCGTACCCCTTTTAAACCCCCCCCCCCCCCCCCCCCCCCAAACCTCCACCTAACCGGGAAATAAAAATAAATAAATAATAAATAAATGCTTTTAACAAACCCCGCCCCGCACCCCCCCCCCCCTCCCGCCCGAGAAGCTCTCAAAACTTTGACATGCTTTTTAACTTTTTTATTTTATTTTTTAAGCATTCATGGTGGCAATAGAAACTAGTATGCCCTATTGAGGCACGAGTCATTGTGATGCATTTTATTAGAAAATATTATCTAGTCTTGCATGACCATCTAATTTGGTGATCTATCCGCAAGAAAACAAATTTAGTGAGGAAATTTGCAGATCACCATGGATTTACCTTCGGAAAAAATCCCAAAAGAAAAAGAAAAAGAAAAAAAATGAAAGTATGCACCTTTCAAGCTCTTAAGTCTCATACTATCGTCTCTCCAATAGATGGTTCAGAGTTCTATGTTGTAGGAAGGCCGGACCATGTACTGTAGGTGGGTGGCCGACCACCTAAGACCCACCTCTCCTCAAAAGTCCCCCAACAGTTTGGGTTTTGAAACCTAGGTTCGAAATATTCAGTTTTTCAAGAGACCACAAGTCAAGAATGTCATTTTACAGTAAAAGTACGTATTCTTTCTCTACACTGGTTTTCTCCCATTGCCCTGCACATAGAACTGAAATAAGGGAAACTTGGTTTTAAAATAATATTATTTGGTGGTCCCAGCGTTATAGAAATTTGCAACCCTTTGCTCGAGCCACTCATTTTTTATTTTCCCCCAAAACAAAATATTAGGTTGGAGTCTCCTAAATATGAGAGAAAAATATATATAAAAGGTTGGAATCTCCGAAATGTAGAAAAAACAAAAGAAAAAAAAAAAAGATATACCAATGCCTAAAACTCTTAAAACAAGAATGTGGACACTTTTATTTTATTTTATTTTATTTTTTGAAAACCTTATTGAACAATGCACACAATGGCTGCTTCTAGAAATGCAAATTCCCTAGCGCGCCCAAAAGAGTGATACTCCCTCCTGCCCTGTTTAAAACACTAACTTTGTAAAAAATGATCATATAATCATGGTTACGAGGACCGGATGAAACTAGAGCTTCGACTGGTCGAACTGCCGAAGGCACTTTAACTAGTGGAGTTCAAAGTAAAAATTAGAGTTGGTCCAAAATTAGTTGAAATCAATATTTGACAGGTTTTGGTCGGTCAGATCAGTCAGTTTTAACCAATTCGACTATCTAAATGAAGTTGGGTAAATTTTGTTAATATATTTTATTTTTAAATTACTATATCTATTTTTTTTTTTTATAAAATCTTGTCTAATCGATTTGGGTCGTTGTTGAACCGATTTCGACTAGACCGAATCCCGTACTGATCCGAGAGTATATCCGATCCTGACAAATGATAACAGTGCAATTACTTACCTTCACTAGAAATCTTTTATTTTCCAAGCGCTGTTTTATAAATTTTAACATGTTTATAAACAAAAGATTACCTACCCATGAAGTATGAATAGAAGACTTACATTTCGAGCACGAAGTCCTACTTATCACTGCACTCTCTTATTTTTCTTGGTAAATAATTACAAGGGTCAAACCTCGTTTCTAAAAGTCCAACATATCTCTTGATAGTCCGAAGTACTTAGTTTCTTTCTTACCTTGATATGAAAGCCTGAAGTACACTTATTTTCGTTCTTTCCTTTTCTCGGGCCCGTTGCACTTAATGGCAATGTTGCCGTATTTGCTTGGGAGTTTACTTTTTGTTTTGCGAATAAATGAAGCAATTTAGTGTTTCGACCGATTTGGAGAAAGATTATGAATTTTTTTAGTTAATATAAATAAATTAGATATTTATATATAAAAATATCTCATTACCGTGATAAACAAGGAAAACTGAGGACAAAGTGCATAACCAAGGGCAAACACTTGAATAAGATCCAACCTGCCCTAATAGTATCTAAAACTACTCAACAAATTAACAAAGGCAAGCTTTTTATGTTTTCCCTACAACATAAAGCTTATATACTTCCCCTTATCCAACCGTCCATTATGAATGGAGGGCTAAGATTGCCCCAATCACAATGTCTTGTCTCTACACTTTTTTATTTTTAATTTTTTTCTATAAATTATTTTGATATCAAATTTTGTACATCTGTTAAACTCGCACTAGCGAAAAATATAAAACCAATATTTTCAATAAAATAAAATGACCAAAATACCCCTGAAATATTCAAGGGGTATTTTGGTCATAATTTTTATCAAAAAATTATTTTTAATATTTTTTTTATAGGTGAACCCCAATAAGAAGATGGCACGTACCAAATTTCATATTCATACAATTTGTATAAAAAAAATAAAAATAGAACACTTTGAAACATCAGATCTAAGATCAAACAGTGAGTGGCTCTCTTGATCAAAATTGGACGGCTGGTTAGTAGGGGAAGCATAGATCTTCTATGATGTAGGGGAAGTATAGAAACATTTTCCAACTAACAATTTTAAGTTTATCCTTACAAAGGCCAAGTCCCAAACAAAAGTTAGCCCTCCGAGAATTCCACTATACTAAGTTTGAAAATGGCTACATGAACTGAGCTTAGATTTTACTAATTCCTTGGCTTCAATTATTGGACCAAAAGGCACGAGTTGCTCTTACTGATATCGAGGTATTTAACATCCTTAACTTAGGAAGATCAATGATGCAAAATGGCTACGTTGAGAATACACCCATGATACAACTAAGCCAATAAAACATTATTGCATGCTTAATAAATCCTCTAAAAAACATAGTATTTCGTACTATTTTCCTTTGAATAACTCCAAGTTGGAAGAACTTCAATTTGGTACAAGTTTGAACGAAATCGAGTAGGTAAATCCCAACTTATAAGAATTTTTTCTTTAACTGTGGTAAAAGATTTTTGAGTGTTAGTCAATCAACGCAAAAAATGAAACAAGAAAGGGATTATTAACAGTGGCCAAAGTTCGCCCAACGCAATGAAAGGTTTTTTTTGAAAAGTTTTCTAAGTTACCAAATTGGCTTTTGGAAACTCTGGCGGTGATGAGAAATACAACTACTCATCTTTTTATTTTGGGTGAGACAATGGGGATAAGGCCGTTACTCTTGATAGGAATCGAGCTTCGGACGTAGTGTTGCAAATGGTCAAGCGCTAACCAATTAAGCCCAAACTATTTTCCTACGACTACTCTTTATCTTAAAACATAGTCAAACGGTTGATCACAAAGTTCAGCTAGATGTGCAACTTTCATTTAGAGGTTGGTCAAATTTGCCTAAAAATAAAATTGCTGTCCTCTAGACGTCAATCAAAAGGTTTGGCTAGAAATACTCGTGTCTTAAATGTCGGCCTCAAAAGTTGATTAAAAAAGCAAAGACAACTATCATGTCTTAAATTTCATCACTAGTTGAACAAGGCGATTAAAAAGAAAGTTGCATGTTTTTATGAATTTAGCATGCACACAAATTGAAATGGCCCAAAAGACCTTGAGTCCCTGTGTCGTTTCGACTCCCCACAAGACCAAAGAGATCTCTCCCTTGTAAAGCCATAGAAAGCCTTGTTTCTTGGCAATGGGGGAACTAATTTTTCACTGACGTTACACTATGACTTTAGAAAATTGTCCTAACAAACACAAAATACCCCCTTCACTTGTGAGCATCCTTGGTACATCTCTCTCACAATGTTTCAGTCAATGACCCTCCCTCCACAAACAACTACCAACAACCTATAAATTCAAAATTACATCTCCATTCATTACATCTATTACAAATAAGTAGTCCTTTCATTACAGTATAACTACATATAGTAGCACCCACTATAAAGTCGCAATCACCAACATCAACAAATTTAAAAAGACCTTCAGAAAAATCAGGTGATGTTACAAACAAACAGCCTTCCAACCTTCCCACATTATCCATGCTCTCATACATATAGTATCCACTAACAAATATCAACATCCACAAATTTAAGACACCTCTAAAAATAAATCAAAAGAGAAGAAGAAAAATAAGAGAGAGAAGAGAGAGAGAGAGAGAGAGAAAATTTTTAGCTTGAATTCTTCTCTCCTTGCAAAAGTGCTTTTAAAATCGTGTCACAAATGTTGGGGTCGTAAATGAGCATGTGGCCAACACTAGGAAGCTCATGGTATTTAATCCATGGAAGTTTAGTGGGAATATAACGCTGGAGCATAACGGGCACAATCAAGTCATCATCACCATGCCACAAGTGAACAGAACCTTCACCATTGGGAAAGGGATTGTGGAGTTCCATGGGATCATAATCCCAACTGCCAAACCCCACATTTGCATCTCTAACCAGGGACTCATAAATTCCTTGTTGACGTGCTTGGTGCTGGAGATTCACACAAACACATGATAAAATGAGGTAGGGAAGGTACTCTCTCTCTCTCTCTCTCCATGTTTATTTACAAGAAAGAATTCAACCTCTTGGAAAGTTTGCTGATTCAGAACTATTTTGTCTACTTAATAAAGTCATTTACATCTAAATAGGTGAAGTGCTGCTTCTCACAAAATTCAACAAAAGTTGGAAAGACTAAAAAACCTCCTTTTTAGACAACACAAACTTAAAAATGATGGATTCAATGAATCTCTATCTAACTAAGAAAATTACACAAGTCTCTTGTGACTTGAAATACTGGACTATAACTAGATACGTTTTATAGCTTTTACCCTTCACCATCAAAGAGCGAAGAGGCGCATTCCAAGAATGAAAAGTATTTGGTGAATCAGCGAACTCACGAATTCATGTCCATCCTCCCTCCAAGATCTATCTTAATGGATATTGGATCCAAAAGTTTAGGAATTGCTAATGTTAGTTATGAAAATGATCATGAATCTAGAATTTTTTCTTAAAAAACAAGAAGAGAGGGCGCGTGGAAATATGGTATGTGTGGATTAAACATAGATTCAAGTACCAAGAGTAGGATGATATTACTCAACAGGAATAAGTAGATCATCTAGAAGTCAAAGATGGAAGATCTTTCGTATTACAAGCACTTGTACATACCCATTGAAGGGGGAGAACACAAGCCCAAAGGTATGACTGATGATGAATGGAAGAGCAAGACTGAACAGCGCACGGAACTATTCGATAATGATTGCATGAAATTATGTTCCACTATGTGTCAATGGAGACATTAACAAAGTCATTGTGAGACAAGTTACATGACTTGTATGAGAGAAAGATGTTAAGGAATAAGACATTCTTGATCTAGAAGTTGGTGAGCTCAAAGTTTAAGGATGGGCGATATGTTGCAAAGCAGTTGAATGAGGTGCAAAACATTGTTAACCAACTTGAAACGATGAAGTTACCCCTAAAAGACAAGTTGTAAGCTCTATTGTTGCTCAGTTCTATATCGGACATTTGGTACAAAAGCAACTTAGCATCTAATGGAATAATGACCAAGAAAGGTGTTCACATCCTTTCATTGTGGAAAGAATGAGTACAATAAAAAAGAGTGTCATAAGCTCAAGAAAGAGTGGATTGAGGATAATGGCAAGAATGATGGCAAGGACACCACTAAAGACCCGTGGTCGGAAACTATGGTGACCGGTGCATTAGTATTGCATAAACTTCATGTAACTCTGACAAGATAGTAGATATTGTAGCATCATTTTATGATACCCCAAATAAATGTTATTTTGCTTTTTACAGAGAGGGAGACTTTGGCTCTTTAAAGATGCGGAACAATTGTTCCTCAAAATTTGTGGCTAAGGGAGATACGCACATCAACTTTGATATTAGGGTGAAGTTGCTGCTAACGAAGTAGTCTTGATATAATAACGAAATATGATGTGTTTAGGTTTCGTTATATGGGGCCTTAATATTCCTTAAGAGTCCTAGTTATCAGTCAATTCATAGACCTTAGCTAATGACCAATGATAGCCAAAGGTATCAAGCCATCTAATTTCAAGCCAAGATTTGAAACATATATCCCCGAGGCGACAATACGCCTCTCCACACAGTATTGGAAGAGTTTGATACGGTATGATACACTTTCAAACACGTCGTAGGTCAAATATGTGCATCTTGGATAACAACCAGTCATAAAAGACTATCAAGCCATCTCAATTTGAGACAAGCTTTGGGTCATATATCCCATAGGCCACAATACGCCTCTCCACATAATATAGGAAGAGTTTGGATATGGTATGTTACATCTTTGAATCTGTCGTCTGCCAAAAAATGAGTGTTTGACAGCCAAAGCATAAAGAAACTTGATCATATGATATCACATTGAGGCGTGTCTTTGTAAACATATTCAATGAGGTCTCATATACCTCTAGTCTAAGAATCATACAAATTGGACATCATTTGGCCCACTGGCCATAATTCGTCAGTGGCCAAAATATGCCTTGACCAATAACCCCAAATATAATAGTTTGGCGATTGGTCTGAAACTCATGGGAAATCATATTTTATGCATCATATCCATCATCCCAAAGTTTTAAGTAATTTGGAGACAGGTTAGCCCTCCATCCATATTCATCGGTTGCCAGATCCTTATACATCATTTGCCAGACAGATAGCCAGGATGACCTCCAGTTACTAAATTTGAGATTTCTCTATCTATAAGGAGTTTTATCATAGGACCTAAACTATTGGATTGTTGACTCAATACCCTATCAGCCATGTAAGTGCAGCATTCTATCAATCTCTCATGTGAAAGTGACAAGCTTTGCAATAATATTCATGAAAACTATGCAAAATTTTGACCTTTGATAGATGATTTTGCCCAAAATATGGAGAGCCTTGAGCCCAAATTTTATAGAGATGTATGTCATAGTATCCTCTACAAAATTATTGCACTCCTAGGGTCTATAATCCTTGTGGTGAGAGTTGTTGCACTCGCAATCCTCAAATTTGTTGTCGTAATATGGAGTAGAAATGCATTCACTTTTATAGGTCATATTTCTCTCTTATGTAACCCATTAAAGGTGGGATTAAAACCAATGTGTTCGTCTATGAGTCCTCTACCACCACACAAAAATTCATGAAGAAAGAGTTCGTCATTAGAGAGCGGCAGTGAAAATACCAGGACATGTTATTATTTCTTTGTAGATTAGCAAACAACGAATAAGGAACAACCACTTTCCTTTATTTTCAAATTGGAATATCATGATGAATCTTGGAAGTTGCATGCTCAAATTCAAATATTAGGACAAGATCAAGATCAAACAAGAACATAGTTATGATTAAGTTCATCTGGAGGTGCTTTCAAATTCGAACAAGGACATGAGTATCGTTTCAAATAGATTCATCAGAGATGAATGGATATGGTCAACGATTTGAATATGCTTATCAGCTTTCATCATTATCACTTCAGAAGATCTATTTAAACCAACTTCTCGTTGAGAGAAGAAGAGCACGAAATTGATACCTGTCATTCCTACATTTCCTGCCTTTTTTACATGGTAGAGAGAGAGATGAGAGAACAATTTCATATTTATTGCACCGACAGTTAAGAGATAGGCTCCCCAATAATGTCATCTTCTATTATGTGGTGTAAGGATCATCAACGAGAGAGAAAAGTTGTTGATTACAAGACTCTTGATGCCTCAATTCTAGAATGAGCACATATGGGTACAATACCCCTGCATATAATCTGGTTTACGAGCCCCCATAAGCCCCTTGATATTGATATTCTTCATTTGTCCATGGTGTTTGACCCCTTATAGAGGGTCAATGTAAACTATAACAGGAGTTGGAAGTTCTTGGAACTCCTCATGTA